AGGATGAGACAAAGAATGAAAGTTATTATATATCAACTTTCGCAAATTTTTGGGAACGAAAGGTCGCGGCATTGCCTTGGTCGTGTCACAATAAATTAGAATACCATCGATAGGTGATGGGAATTGTTTTAAATTAAGACTTGAATTGTTTGTTTTAAGTAGGTTTTGCAATTCTAGGTCCTGCTCTTGTTCGTGTCTTAACGTCTCGAAGTTTACTGTAGACTGCTGTAGCACGTTCATTTCTAGTCTGGATAAAGCATCTGCCGCCTGATTGTCCTGATCTTTGACATGTCGGATATCGCTTGTGAACTGTGATATATAGTCAAGGTGTCGGACTTCTCGAGGTGAGTATTTATCGGCTCTCACTTTTAATGCATTCGTCAGTGGTTTATGATCCGTAAAGACTATAAATTCCCTACCTTCTAACATGTGTCGGAAGTGTTTAATGGTCAGGTAGATTGCAAGAAGTTCTCGCCCGAAGGTAGAATACCTTGTTTCGGCTGGAGCGAGTCTTTTCGAGAAAAAGGCAATTGGTTTCCAGGCGTTTTTAACCAGTTGGTTAAGGGTACCGCCTACTGCTTTATCTGAAGCATCCACCATCAAAGCAAGTGGGGAAAGAGAATTCGGATATATCAACGTAGTTGCTTCAGCCAGTTTATCTTTAAGCTGTTTAATAGCTTCGATGGCGTCAAAAGACAGTTTGAATTCTTTTGGGTTCCTTTAAGTCGATCTGTCAAAGGTTGCATTAATTGTGCACAACCTGGTATGAATCTGCGATAGAAGTTAATTAGGCCTAGAAAACTTCTCAGTTGTGTTAGAGAACTAGGTACGGGGTATTGTTTGATGGTATCCACTTCTTTTTTGATAGGTTTAATCCCTTCTGGGCTTATTGTGTGACCGAGAAATTCTAAAGTTTGAACACCGAAAACACACTTACTTTGATGTATGTTTATTCCATGTTCATCCAGTCTTTTAAACACTGCTTGTATATGCTATTCGTGTGATTGCAAATCGGGGCTGGTAATTAACAAGTCGTCTATATACCCCTGTGCAAATGGCATATCTCGAAGTAGGTTATCTATGAATCTTTGAAATGTCTGTGCCGCATTTCTAAGGCCGAATGGCATGTGTACAAACTCGAATAAGCCAAAGGGTGTAGTAATAGCTGTCTTGGGAATATCTTCATCAGCCACCGGGATATTGTGATATGCCCTGACTAAGTCAATTTTATTGAATATGTTCATACCCTGTAAACCGTTGGTGAAATCTTGGATATGAGGTATTGGGTACCTATCTGGTACGGTTTGACGGTTTAGGGCTCTGTAATCCCCGCACGGTCGCCAGTCACCTTCATTCTTCTTTGGGACCATACGCAAAGGGGATGCCCATTGACTATCAGAGGGACGGATAATACTCAATTGTAGCATATAATCAAACTCGGCCCTAGCGATTTTGAGCTTATCTGGTGCTAGTCTCCTGGGTTTTGCAAACACCGGTGCACCTTCGGTTTTGATAGTGTGACTCACTTTTAGTTTGTCTTTGGAAGGCTGTGGGTTTGGTTTAGTTAAGTTTGGAAATTCCGCGAGTATATCTTGAAATTTCGCTGTTGTTACTGGGGGAGTTTGAATCAAGTTAAGAGAGCTGATGTGACTTTCTTTGCCTTTTGTGTAATACGAAGTTTCTTTTAGTGTTAATCGCCGTTTCTTGGTGTCAACTAGAAATTCGTATCTCTCTAGAAAGTCCATCCCCAGTATTGCCAGATCTAAGTCGGCTACCATGAAAACCCAAGGGAAGTGCCTTCTGAACCCTAAATCCAGGGTTAAAGTTTTCTGCCCAAATGTCGCAATTTTAGTTTTATTTGCAGCTTGAAGTGTAATTGATGATGTTTCTCGACTAATCTCAGTTTTATTTTGAGGGATGATGATAAGAGCAGCGCCAGTATCCACCAAGAATTTCAAGCCAGTTTCTGTCTCTAACATAAAACAAGCGACTGTTTAGGCGCCCCTCCTCAGTCGTCGCGACCTGGGGAGGGGTTACTCGTTTCCCGCTGTCTTAGAATTATGCTTAGGCCAGGCGCATGGTTGCACGCATTTGGTTGAGTTGACACCAAACTTTCAGTGGTACCAACAAAACTGCCCAGATTGTCTGGACATTTGTGACTTGGATCGTGGTCGTTGTGGTGACCTGCTCCTGTTTCTATGACCCATTTGCATTCTGGTGACAGCCTCAGTGAGACTCTTAACACTCGCAATGAGTCCTTCTATTACGGGGTCTTTTGCTGATTCTACTTTTTGTGTGTGATTTATTGTGCCTGATCCAGTTGGAGGACCTCTTTCCATTATTCTGTCGGCTATACGCGCTAAATGAGATAATGAGGTTTCAGGATCTTGTGCATCCAAACAGTGTTGGACGTAGCATGGGAGAGCTTGTATCCATCCTTGTTTTAGGACTGCTTCACCCACTGTGTTATCACCCACTAAGACTTGGAGGTGACGTAAAAACTGTGACGGCGACCGATCACCTAGTGTTTCACCTTGAAAAAGTCTTTGGATTCTTTGACTATCTGATAATGATAAACGGTTCATTATCTCTCGTCTTAAGATGGTGTATGGTTGTGGTGATGGTGGATCTAAAATCAAGTCACGGACTTCTTTGGCGACTGAAGGAGGAAGGATAGAACACAAGTCTCTATAGCGAATCCCTTCAGATTTGATATTGTGTCTCGTGAAATAATGCTCTAGTTGAGCAAACCACAACTCAGGATCACTACGATCAAATTCTGGAAGTCGGGATTTCGTAGTCATAACAGTGTCTATCTCCACTGGTGACAAATCCTCCAGATTATGGGTTTCTATTGAGTCTGACATGAGGTATGCGACAAATATAGCAATAAAGTTAGCACAAAAAGTGGTTACTATAACACGAATAACTTAAGATAATACGGAATAAACTAGTTATATACTCAAATTAGTTTACGGATAATCAGGTCTACTTTTACGATTAAGTAAAAAATATGTTAATAACAGAAATGAGGTTAAATTTGTGTTCAAAAAGGGCTCACCAGTTTCGTGCCTTAAAGTAACCCTCGTGCTATTGATAGAAGAAACCAGACAAGTAGTGAATAGGTCTTTATTTCGATCATAGCGCGGTGACAGTGGAGCATGGGATTATCTGTTCAGACAAACAAAGGCTCTCAACAGTCAATATAAGATAATAGGGAATATAACGCTTATACAAAACAAGGAAGTGAATGAATACTTGAACAATACTGTTTTGGCATATGCTTGGTTGTTTGGGGTCAACTCTGAACCAACCAACCTTAGCTGTTACAGATGATCTTAAAAATCGGACAGAGTTTCAAAAATTCACCTAATATCTTTTGGCGAGTGAAGTACTGCCATTCGGTTAAGGAAAACGAAAAGACAAAAAATATTTTAAAATGTTTATTTTATTGTCGAAGTGAACGACATGGAATTATTTCTTCTAGGATTTAGTATAACACTACCCTCCAATTCGGTAGGATAGAATTCCTTTTTTAGGATACTCGTGCTAACTAACTATACATGTACCTTGAGAATGACACTTGTGAATAGTTTTCTTTGTATTCGTGTAAAACTAGTATACTCTGAAATCATGGATAACCGTTTCACTCTATGTTGAGACTGTTCAGTAGCTTCACCTTTAAACATGCTCTTTGAGTCAGACCTAGGATCAAAACCTCACTCTTTGTGTTACGATTTCACAATCGAAGTCGAATCAGTAGTAACGTACGATATCAAAAATTGCTGCATCTAGAATGAACAATCAGTACTTTTTCCTGGCCATTTCGTGATTTCTGCAGTAAAAATAGGCTCATGATAGAGTCTGTCCCATTTAATTGATAGCCACCGAATTAATGACACTAAAACTCAGTAGATTTTCTCAGTTGTCTTCCTGTTGAGCTCCATTGTCAGAGTCCCACGGTCTGTTTGGGGTCAGCCTGTGTGCATTGCATACACGTTATCAATCTGCTTTTTGACTCATTTTCATATTCACCTGGCCTAGCGCGAGGAATCATCCGGGTTTTATGACCGGTCAAAAGGTTGAAGTTCAAACCCTCTACGAAGTGTTTGACGTGCCGCAATGGACAATACATGATTGGGAGTATCCCACCATCTCGTGATAGATCTTAATGGTTGATAAGGCTGTTTGCTCATTGATGTAAAACTAATGCAATTACTAAGTTGAATACATTTACATCAACACCAAGGGATTGAAGATGCCATAAGTATTTGTAGTTTGACAACGCTTCTATGACTGAAACGTTCCCACCCAGTGAAACCAAAAGTCAGAATCGAGAAGGTTTGAAGATGTATTTGACAGGTCATCAATATATCGAGAAGTGACTGATCTAAACTGGCTAGTGGTTGCAGGACAAGTTGAGCATGGCGTTCGCACTAGTGATCGGCTGTGGATGCGTGACCGAGCGCCTTCAGCTAGGTGAGTCCATTAAGACTAAAGTGATCAGCATCAAATGTCGAAGACTGACAGACCTACTGATTCTGGAGATTTATTTACCGTTACAGGGTGTGTATGTGTAATAATGTGTGGCCATGGCTGATTTTGTGACTCTTTCACCACAACAAATGATTTCTTCTTATTTTCATCCAGTTGCATGCACTTTGCGTTTTTGTGAAGTTGGTCTGTTACGGGTCTCTCAAGAGATGCCATCTTCGCACTACTCCTGTATATTCAGTTTTCTTACCGAAACCAAGCTGTTTTCCTGCCCATAACCTTATAACTGTTGATCACAGCAACGTTAGTGTTCTGGAGTAAATAGATATTTACTCGAATTACTGTCGAATTCACAAGGATTTATCCAGTCGAGTGTCTATTCTACCTTTAATGGACGCTAGCTAAAACTTAGGACCCTTCCATAGTACTAAAAGTGGGCGAAAATAACCATCTGGTTTGCACAAGTACCCGACGTAGGCACTGAATGATTAAAGCGTTCGATGTCATCCCGTCGCAATGGTATTGCAAACTCTGTGCGCGTGTTACGACTCGGGCGGTACGTCGCTGGGATGTCTTGGTCGACGATACCTCCGCATCTTCGTACTCGACTTATTTCACATGGACAAAAAGTTTGTGAGCTTTACAAAGCAGCGCTTTACGATCTTAAGGCGAAAAATCGTGACGTGTAATCTTGTGATTCTTTTTACTTGCTGTTTGGTAGTTTGAAGTATCGCTATCATGCTGTTTTAATGCGAGCACGTTTTGAAGAAAACAGAAACATTGAGGATGCAGTTTTGGCCAGGAAAATGCTGGAAGATGGATGGGCTGAACTAAAACAGATTGAGGCTCCTTATCCGTACAAATGTAATTACTGACTTCTTATCTCCTTATAAACCTAGATCCTGATGCACCAGGAGGTGCTGCTTACGGAAGGGAAACTGTTTTTAATGACTTTGTGAGTATTTTTCATTGTGTTTGTCACATAATTTATTGCAAATGTTTAAATTTCGAATTTCTGCTTGCCCTTTCGTTTTACTCAAGATGTGTTTCTGTCTGTAAACATAGCTACCGTAAAAAGCCTGTTCCTTCTATATTCCAAACGTTCATTACATCATCTTCGTTAAGATTCGGCAAAAGCCGTGCATCATTTTAGTGTGTCAGCTTCCTGATAATCATGGAAAAACGAGCTAGGTTGATGGCAACAACGGTAACCATGGTTGTTCAAAGGCTGTAAGCAAAGAAAAGAAATTATTTAGAAATTTAAGGCAGTAATATAGATATTTAGTAACTTAAGTAAATGTAGACTCCTTCATACGGCCGATCTTAAACATTGTATATATATATATATATAGCTTTCATTTGGTTGCTATATCTTTATATCCTAAAACATGCGATAACCTAATGGCTAGGGCGCTCCATTTTTAGATTCCAGCTCCCGGGTTCGAATCTCCTACTCTACCTTCGGCTCAGATCTACAAGTAATATCATTAACCCTCATTTAGGATGTTTCGTACACAAGTACCTAATAAATGGGTTAAATTGCCATTATTTATTGGAGCTTAAGAGGTTCAGTAGATTTTCCCAGTTGTCTTCCTGTTGATCCCCGTTATCAGAGTCTCCCGGTCTGTTTTGGGTTAGCCTGCGTGCATTGTATACACCTTGTCAATCTGCTTTTTGGCTCATTTTCATATTCAGCTGGTCTAGTGTGAGCTGGGTTAATTAGTCGCTTAGCCACAGAAACACTGTTTTATTCCCAATTTAGTAGTAGGAGCGCTTAACTTTCGTTTTCGGAGCCACAATTGCCACTGTTGTCAAACCAAATTATCCTATTTAGGGAGCTTTGCTCACACGAAGAGTAGTTACTAAAATATGTACTGTATACAATCGTGACCAGTGGTTATCCACTTATAAGTGGCTTCAATATTAACCCCATCATTTATGTAACGATTTTTTTGCTTTTATGATGACGTGCGTATGTTTGTCATTTTGGAAGGTTAAAAAGATTTCTTTCGAGTCACTTTCAATCCGAACAGTAATCGATTCTTACAGAAACGTATTTGTGAAATTTATGTTTATCAAAGCACTTTTCATTTCCAATCCAGATAAACAAGACAAGTGTGTAGCAGGTTGCTGTACTGGAATCATAGTTGTTTCTCAACTCAACAATAGCACAAGAGCCATCAACTAATGTATTCAAATGACCTCCAAGAATACATAAAAATAGATATGTTCTTAAGAATTAGAGCAAGGTTGAGAAGGTGAATCAATGCCACCTTATTAAACTGAGTTGTGCCACACATGATTCACACTTTATGGTTTTTTCATCGTTACAATGGAGTCTTGCTCCGTTGGTATTCATCTATGATCTAAATGTAAAATGTTCTATGATTGATCTGGGTTATCGTAGTTAGTGATGTAATTAAGCACTTTAACCAATTAATTTGTCTTGGGAGTTTCACTCATCACGATAAGTTGTTAGTTGAAAAAATCTCCACACGGATTCGAAAAAAACCATTTGGTTTTTGTCTATTCATGTCACATATGGCGTAGGCATGACATTCCTTTGTCAGCCAATGTTCAAGTAAGCTTTTCATCAGTTTTCCCTATTGTAGTGTATGGCTAAAAAATCCCCTATGTAAATAGAAGATGAAATTAAACCTCAATGCTTTGATCTCAGGCCTCATCGAAACATTAACTATACTATATTAACAACAGAATGAGCAGTGCTGTGATTAAGCACAGGGTACCGGATAAAGACAGGCTGATAAGAATGCTAATTTCTGTCGACTGAGGTAAGCAAGACGTTTTTACGTATAAGCGGCTTAGGAGTGGATCGGGTAAAGTTACAGGAGGCTCAACTAAAATGTGATATCCATGGCACTGTTGACGGTTAGACTGAGCCATATTAGCTGGTGCAGATCACTGACTTATGGCCCGTGTTAGCAGGAGATCGATTGAGTTAAAGCGTATTTCACGTGGGATTATGTTTGAGCACGCTATTCGGCCCATTTCTAGCCAATCAGCACTAGAGAATAATCGTGTCTCAATTCTACATGGTACTAAAATTTTAACTGCACGCATTTATATTTGAATACAAACCACACTTGTATGTGTAGATTACTTGTTATTACCTGATTGTGTAAACCTTAGTAGGTTAATTTGGGTCCGAATCCCTTATGAAATCGAATTCGTAGACCTATAGTTCACAGCTCCACCTGCATGTGGATATGTATTATAGTTGATTGTTGCTTTTTGTTCTCTAGATTTTAAAAAATATAAAAGATTCAAGCTTGAAATCAGGTTTATGCTAGTAGAGTTTGAGTCCCAATCGAGATGTAAAAATCACAAATATTCCACGCTTGCGGGAACTGAAGTGGGATGCATGGGTTCACACCTATCAGATAATGGAGAGTGAGTACCTGACCCATTGGACTACCCTTTCATTTTATCGATACAGGTTGTGGAGTTATCAACATCTAAACGGTTTTTCTAAAAATTATTTTTCGCTTAGATCAAGTGTCTTGTCGGATTTACCCTAAAAAATTTTGATAGACATACGAAGTATCTGGTTTCATGGATTTGTCACTTACCAAGTTACCGTCGATTTCTAATCTCTCTTTGACAGAACTATGACCTTTGGCATCCATTAGAAAAGAAGCAGTATCCTGACTTCTTTGCAAGACGGGAAAAACGTAAAAAGGAATTTATCGAAGCCTGGGTCAAACGTTATGGTCCTGAAAATGAAAAAGTGTTTTAGTTGACTTTGTGAACAAGAAATTCTCGTAGATTTACTTTCAAGTGATTATATCAAATAAATTTCTTGAAATCCTCTTAGTACTTTTAAAATCAAGTTTGTTACCTGAAGTTTTACATATTGTCTATCAGTTAGGATGGATGATTTCTTGTATTTATCACTTAAGAATTCGAAATGTCATTTCATAGTAGTATAATCCTTTTGCTAAATGAGAGGTATTTTTCGAATGTGTATAAACCAAGGTTGTGATTAATAAGTTTGACAAGATAGTGCTCTTCATTCAATCTGTCTATAGTTTGCCGGTTATAAGTAACTTAACGACTAGCTGTAAGTAAATCTGTTATTTAGTTAGATAGTAAGTAATATGGAGATGAAATATGATTTGCTTCGAAGCAACTTAAAAACATCACATTAAGATGCGCACATACTACGATAATTTTTTGGCAGGAAAGAAAGATATCTTGCAACTTTTTTTAGATTGAGGATTATCAAAGCATTTGAATCCATATTGATATTCTATTGAAAAACGTTATGCGATCGTTATAGGAATGTAATTTTTGAGATCAATGACTAATTGTTACGTGCCACTCGTCTTCCAACTCAAACGACTTATGCAACTACTGCAGAATTGTAAATTCAGAATTCTTTGTGCGAAAGATAATTGTAGGTATAATATGGATCTTCACATTGATTTGATTGGTGCGTAAATTCTTGTGATGGTAATTTATATAAGCTATTTTTCAAAGTCGTAGAGTACACAGAGGGCCGCTGCTAAATGTACGCGCACGTTGTTTTGGAGATGAACATCGGAACTGAGCCACAAGTGATCCAAGTTGGGACAGACCGATACAATATTCAATAACATACGACGATTAAGCAATGATTGTGTAATAAAAGGAGGGAAGAGTCTTTCCTCAAGAAAACAAATATATGATTTAGATTCCACCATAATCTTACAAGAAAATTTCGCCATTCAGTCCTGTTGTTTATTGAGAAATATTTCATAGTCGATCAAAGGTCTTGTACCGGATTGACTTAAGTAGAGAATGCATTATTCAATATTAGTAGTTTAGATATATATAGGCACACTTAGTAGTTAAGAACAATAGCAAATTATTCACATGGTTAGGCACCTCAGGTCATAGTGGGAAAATGTAAAGCAATTGCTTGGTAGTTGAAAGCCTGATCTTTCAAGCCTTAGGTTGCAGGCCCACATGTCTCCGGTTACTTATGATAAAGGTGTCAAAGCTAAGTACAAAAAACCAGTATATGAATAATTTTTCCTTACAGCAGGTAAAGTCTTTATTTCTAATCACTGGAGAGGGATCATAATAAATATCTAGCAGAGGAATCATGTATTTATTAAACAGAATAAACTAGACACTCAAAAAGCGTCCCCAGGATTGTTAACATGTATCTCCGAATGTATTAACTGAAAACATCAGTGATGAAATGTATCACTTTTGTTCCGTTAATAGATTAAATTTGAATGGATGATAAAATGTACTTCACAACAATATGCTAGGTGATATTCCAAGCATAAGACCAATATTTATTGTCGTTGTGGCTACGCTTAATGGTGTTAATATGTTTCAAAATACTGTCGGTAACTCTTACATTACTTCTGTGACTAGTGGTAACATTTCGTTTGTAGAATAATCCAGTATCTTAGTTCGGACGTTTATCAGTCAGTCAGTCAGTAACAACGTAGAGCTTCGTACGTACGTACATCAGTCCGAGTTGCCACACCACATTAGCACAGAGATGCAGTTGTCGACTGAAATTCCGTAGTGGTAGAGGCGGTAAGAGTATAGGTAGTAATTGGAAAGATTAGGGTATAAAGGTGTTATTTAAAGAGTACAATCCAGTGAGATAAATTTCGAAAGAGAAAAAAAAGGGACATGAAGAATTCAGAAGATTAGAATTCGGGAGAACACAAAGAGTGGATGCATCTGCACCATTGCAAACGATTTTGAGCCATGTCATTCAAGGTATTTAACCATCGGTTGCTATCGTCTCGTGGATCCGAACCAGGTAGTCTACACGTACCACAAAATGACGCAAGTTGGCAAAAGCTAGTCGAGCTTTCTGTATCTGTGCTGAGATTTCGTCACACACCAGACCACAAGGGCTGATTAGACTTCCAAGATAAGTGAAGCGATCGACATGCTCAACTACTTCACTCTCTATCATTAGTTCGGGTGTCGATGCAACCCAGTCCTGAAGCAACATTTTGCATTTCGAGGGGGGAATCGCATCCCGAACATGGTTGCATAGTTTCTTAGAGTGGTCGGAAGACTGCGTTTTGTCAGCATCTTCACCAAATAGTACCCGTAACAGAACGCGAGACCAAATTGGTCACATTCGGACGTTTATAACCCATAATGGTTTTATTGTTTCTTCGAGGAGATATTTTGGAATGCAGTCTTAAACTGTTGAATCTTTCTTACATCACTTTGAGATAGTTTGTTTTTATTGCAATATTTTACATATTTGATTGTTCCTTTTCCTTGGTATAATGGACAGTTCCTTAAAGCTAGTTTCTGTAGGCCCAACCACTCGTTGCTCATTTAGTTTTTTACTGAACGACATGGAATTATTTCTTCTAGGATTTAGTATAACACTACCCTCCAATTCGGTAGGATAGAATTCCTTTTTTAGGATACTCGTGCTAACTAACTATACATGTACCTTGAGAATGACACTTGTGAATAGTTTTCTTTGTATTCGTGTAAAACTAGTATACTCTGAAATCATGGATAACCGTTTCACTCTATGTTGAGACTGTTCAGTAGCTTCACCTTTAAACATGCTCTTTGAGTCAGACCTAGGATCAAAACCTCACTCTTTGTGTTACGATTTCACAATCGAAGTCGAATCAGTAGTAACGTACGATATCAAAAATTGCTGCATCTAGAATGAACAATCAGTACTTTTTCCTGGCCATTTCGTGATTTCTGCAGTAAAAATAGGCTCATGATAGAGTCTGTCCCATTTAATTGATGGCGACCGAATCAATGCCAGCAGAAATGGTAATATTCATAATTTGACGATATTTCTACGAACTAATACCCTCATTTCTAAATGTTATGTTTAGAGATTTGTTTTTGTTAACATTTCCAAACAAATGTAAAGATATCTGTTTCGCACAGCAACTAGGGTTTCATTTTCCCACAGACCAAATTTAATGTATGATGTAGGACTAAAAGAAATTACATTATTGATCAGGTTTTTACAAAATAGTACACTGTTTTCACCGTTCTGCTGGCATCCAGGAATTAAGATTTATAACTTCTAATATCTACATAGTAGAGTAACTTTCGTTTAAAACCCTTTTATTGATGAATAAAAAGGGTCAAGGATATCGACATAAGAAAATGAAGTAATTTACATCCTATCAATATAGAACTCTGAAAGTGTCACATCTGACAATGTAGAACAACAAGTACACATACATATTGTGGTAGGAAATTATCAAGTAGCTATTAAATGCAGAAAAATTAGACGGTGGAACAGAGTAAGCAAATAGTTGATAAGTACTTCGTTGATATGGATATATATAATGGACCTTAAGTAATAAATTTTCTGTGTATCATCACAGTAACTTCTTAAAATACTTAATGTATGTCAGACTTTCGTGGTTTTTGGGAATGGTTTTCCATCTCAGCAATCTGTTATTTACCATCGTATAGATAACATGTTCGCTAATAAGAAAGTTAATGAAATAGCTTGTCACAAGTAAATTTATTTTGAAATATGTATGATAATGTATTTTTTAATTGGCACTTCAAAAGGAACTCATGCAAAACAGTAGAAAACAAACACAGGATACTGATACATAAAATAGGACTAATCTGTCAGTTTATTCTCATTTTCTATCAAATATTTGCTTCAATCTGTTCGTCCAACTAGATTAGTTCACTTTGTTTTTATGTTAGTTTTATATATGTAAAACGTTTTCAGTGATTTAAACGTAATAAACATGGTAGAAAAATGGATGGTTGATTAGTAAATGATAAGGTAATTTAGACTACCCAAATCGTAGAGTTTGGATTCATGAGACTAGATGAGACCCATTTTAATTGGTTTTGCTATATCATCGATTAGTTGTAAGGATCGGCTGATATAACTTTCCAACTCGATGCAATCAAATATTTGGTATGGTCGTCATTTCGTGACTGCTGCAATGTTTAGCATCTACCACCAGAAGTTCCGGAAATTCATCTAATATCTATCTCTCAACGAGCGAAGTACTACCTTTCGGTTAAGTAGTTCGTGAAGACACGAATAGTTTGAGAGTGTTAATTTTATTACTGGCTGATCTCAACTTAAACCTGTTAAGTCTATAGGCGTTCTGCTGATCACGTAAGCCTGGAGGTATTTGGTTGAACTCGGTATGAGATTCCGGGCACTTGAGTCGTTGAACTTGTAGCGGTAAATAAATCCCCAAAATAAATAGCTCTAAGTTTTCGACATTGGATGCTGACCATATGTTTTAGTGGACTCATCTAGCTGAAGGCGCTCGGTCATGCATCCGCACCAGATCACGTGTGGTAACGCTGTGCTCAACACCTACCGCAATCGCTAGCCAGATTAGATCAGAGAATTCTGATATATTGGTAATCGCCAAATACACTCTCCCGATCTCCTCGACTCTGTCTTTTGTTTTCTCTGGGTGGGAACGAATTATATTAGAAGGTGTTACTGGTAAAAGCGGTGTCAAACACTGAATACCTGTGTCATCATCATTGGTGAGCCCGACGTGATCTGGTACACCTACTTGCAACTGTGAGTCTGTTCCTTTTTGGGATTTTTATATATCATTGCCTTATTTTTTATTTTTTTAAACACTCATTTTTTTTCTTGGATATGTATATTTTCCCCTCGTTCATTATCGTACTTCATATTTCATCATGACTGAACAGACACCCAAAGTACTCAAGCTTAAGACTTTGTCCCCGCCTTCGTTTCAACTCATGCCTTTCTGGCCCGACAACATCGAAGCCTGGTTCTGCTACGCAGAAGCGGACTTCCACGAGTACGGCGTGATGGACCCACGTGCACAATTCCTCGCA